CGAAGCTAAAGATAAATAAGACTCAATTTGGTGTATTCGTTGAGACGTGAAAAGAGGTAGAATACATCATGGGGAGTAAAACTGCCATTAAGGCACACGACGTATCTATAGTAGGCGTAAAAACCACTATACTCCGATCGCAATTGAGCTAAGTAAGTTCCTGCTGCAAGAGGGAGGAGTCTTTCTGCACTGCATATGTCAAGCGGAAATCTGTTAAGAAGTTTTTAAAAAAAGTAAATGCTGATCTTAGTCCTTGTTTGTATTTAACCTCTCATGTTATTTCCATTGTAAGAGGTGCCGTTGTATGCACGAATGAAGAAAGAAATCGACGAATTTATGATTGAGAGAGGGCTCTACTGTTCATGTTGCCATCGGGTTTTTCACTTGTTTACAGATTGCTTAGACAGTAGATAACTGAATTCCTTGTCATTTAGTTAGAACCACTAAAAAATATTTATCTTGTTATTATTTTACATAAATTGTATGTAAAAAACCTCTGTAACATTTTTAATGTTAAATATTGTTTATTATTCCATAAAGCGGGTTTTGAAGCCAAAAATAAGTTATTTAATTATTTTACTTAGTTTTTACTGTAACGGGTACAGTTTAATTTAAACTATAAGCAATACGTTGGGGGTGCTGTCTATAGTAAAAATAGGTGTGAAGTAAGACAACGATAGTACTATTGAATAAATAATTTTTAACTAAGTTAATTAGTTAAGTTTGGTATTAAGTATCAAAATAAATTGAATTAAAAATTTTAAATTTAATTGAATTTATGAGCAAAATCCTCAGTGTTACCTTGAAAACAACTTCCAATAACAGCTTGAAGCTATAAACTTTATTCAAAGTCACTATGGTATCAACTTACTTAAAATGCTATTATATTAGCAATTCTGGCAGTTCCAGTTTGCTCCTTACAAGTTTAATTTAATCTTTGATGAAACACTTTTCAACAAAAAACAACTAAAAACTTCGTAGATAAATTTGTTGGGTTCACGTTTCCATTGGTAATTCTATTCATTTGGAGGGCACAAATGCCAATTGTTGTTACCAGAACCCTGCTGTGCAGCCCTTTGTGCTTGCAAGACGACAAAACCGCAGAAATCTCAAACTTAATGTATTTCCGGTGTGAGGCAAACACAATATCCTTACGATTACAAACTCAGAAGATTTTGCGATTTTAGTGTAGATTTCTTATTACTGCGAGTATTGTCTTCAAGAAGCGTTGGAGTAGTAATGGGTTTGAGAAGGAGCTTCAAGCACCCACACTGATAGAAAGGTTGGCGTAAGAGTAATGGTAGCCTAACCAGACTACCAGACTGAAGAGGTTGTGCAGAATGTGCAAAAACAAATGTGACAACCATTGCAAGGATGACGTTGGTGGCGACAAATTAAGTTCTCATGTTTTTCCGCAATTTAAACAGTAAGTTTGCTTGCACCGTGTTGTTGTTTTTCGGTGTAATGCTGTTACAAGGCAATGGTTAAGGAGAACTTTTCCACCACAGCAATTAATACTGGAGCCATTGTAATACGACATTTGCTGGTAATGTAAGGCGTACATGTCGGATTAGTTTGTCGATAAGTTCATTTCAGGTGTAAGCGTCTTACATGTCTAAAGTTTTCAAATTAACGCAGCAAAACTTTTAAAAGCTTTTCCTTTATCATAGACAAGATGAAGTCACTTAAGTAACAAAATTAATACATTTTACTGTATGAACATCATTGCCCCTCGTGCAGAGTAGTCATATGCCCTACCGATTTCTAACATCCTTTAATTTTCGCATTTGGCAAAAAGTTTTCTGCTCCAACAAATTGTGTCATTGCACTTTTTCTTCGGTTTCAATTTGGTTGTAATGTTTTATGCACATCGTATAAATAACACAAATGTGAACATCGTTCCAATCGCAGATTACAAATTTTTATAGCGGAAACAGCATTTGAGAAAGAAGGATGCAGTTACAGAGGCATAACAGATAAAAGGACTTTTTTGTTTGCGAAATTTTCTAAGAAATTCTCAACGAAATGCGATAAAACTTTTTGGAGATACCCCAAAAATTTCAAATGACAGCTGGGACTATTTCAAAAAGAGATATGTTGTATGTTATATTTGAGCCTTAGTAAACTTTAACGTGAAAGTATATATAATTTAAAGTGTATAATAAAATAAAAAGTTCAAATAAAATTAAGAAAATGGAAGCCTGTTCCATTTTGTAAACCTGTTCCATTTTGTAAGCCTATCTATATTACAATATATCATAAATCATTTTTTATTTGTTTCTACCTAGAAAAAACCTTATTGCATTCCATGTAACTAACCCGTTTAGATCTGAGGTTAAGTAAAATACCATATTTGGATTACATGGCAATCGATGCTTACATCTTGGTATTCGTTGAGGAAGTAGGAGATCCACTGTTTAGTTAGTTCAGTGTATAAGATCTACTATGATCACAATGAATCTACTGCTTTATGTCATTTATTTATTTTTGTTTATAAATGTAGGATCATAATTTAGCTGCTCCTTGGAGAGTCTGTCATTTATTTATTTTTGTATATTTATGTAGCTTTAAAATCAATCTGCTCTTTCGGGAAGCTGTTATTTATTGATTTTAGCTTATTTATATAAAATGCCTACATGCAAAATCTATATATTCTATTGATCATTAAGAAATCATATTATAGAATAATATATTTCAATTGAATTAAGAAGTTAAGTATTATAATATAAAATATTATGTACTAAGACTTGAACTTTCTAAACAAAACAAAATATATTAAAATATAAGATCTAAAGTTAGGACTAAGTCTAATGTAATATTTTCTTATGTCTTCTGTGTCCAACTAGAGGGTTAAATAACACCACACTTCACTTTATATTGTCCTATCACAATATTGTCCTATTGTGATAATATTTCTTTCAACTTTAAAGTACTACATCTAATTTAAATCGAGCTTCTAACCATTATTTTAATCAGAAATAGAAATATCTCTATCTAATTCCCTTTTAAATGGAAATTATTTAATCAAATTGCTCATTGTATTCCTCTATGTATTCAATACTTATAGATTTCCTCTTTACTTTATTACAGGTTCGGGCTATGGAACAAAGGCTGAGTGAATGGCCGAAACCAACACAAACAGCAACAAATTCACCGATACATCAAAACCAGCATCAACAACAAGCCACTGCAACAGCACTTGCCGCTACACAACAATCCACAAGTCTTCCCTCGACTGATGCTGAAAAGACTATAACTTCCCTTGAAATTCAAGTTGAAGAACAACGTCAATTGCGTTTGCACGACGCACGGCAAATAGAAGCCAAAGCAGCTAAAATAAAAGAGTGGGTCACCAACAAGTTACGAGAACTTGAAGAGCAAAACCAACTGCTGCGGGAACAGAATCTCAAGTGTAATCAACAATTAGAACTGCTGAAAAATCACATAGCGAATCAACCCAATCGTCATAGCAGTGTAGGGCCACATCCAGTACGTAACAGCTTAAGTTTGGATGTTCAAGATTTTGCAGACACTGCAGAGTCCCGTAGACGTAGTGAAAGTTTAGATCCACAAGAAATTATACATCGACCACTAACCTCTTCATATCCACATCATCAGCATCGACGAAATTTATCAATGGAGCCACAAGAGTTAGAACGAAACTTAGTAGCAGCCGTAGATGGGCTGACACTAGTGCCCTTATCGAGCATATCAAAAGCGAGCACCAACAACAGACCTGATAGCTCTGACACTGATACTGCGCATGATTATGCGGAAATATATACACCATCTTGCGAACAAATGCCAACATGGATGAAGAATAATACAACATTAATGGCAAGTGGAGGCACATCCAGCACAACAACTACAACAAGTGATCTGGGTGTTCCTCGACCACCAACTCCACCACTTCATCGATTTCCTAGTTGGGAAGCAAAAATCTATCAAGTCGCTAATGATGGACTAGCTGGCAGTGCGGAGGATGGTGTTGGCCAAGTCGATACGCAGCCACCAGATATACAAGAATCAGCAAGTGGTGCTGCTTCGGTAGGCAGTACAAGCGCAACGAACACCTTAGCTAATGGCAGTGGTCATAATTTGAACCGTGGTACAACCAGCAATAATGGCACATTGGGCAGCAGTAGTGCTGGCAGTGTCGGTGGTGGTACGCCACAATTACCAAGCAGACAACAACAAACTGCAAGTGGTGGTTTCTGTGATATATCTGTGCCCGTTTATGCTACTGTAAAGGGGGTATGTTATACAAAAGTGTTTATATTCCAATTAATACATCACACATCATTATTTTTAACAATTATTTCAGCGCGCCTCGCAAATACGTTCCATGCCATTTACCGGTGACTCCAGTGACGATTCAAGCGATGGTGAAGATCATGCCGTTATGTTAACGCACAACTCACACAATTCATCAAGTACCGATAACACTGAAACCTCAACCGGTAGTGCTTCAAGTCCTTCAAAAAGTCTGAAAACATCTTCCAGCTTAAGTCCAGCTAAACGCAGCGGTTCCGAAAGTCCTAAAAATAATAAGACACGTGGTATGTACACTGACAAATTGATCCGCTTGCGTAGTTGATTGCCCTTGGTAGCAAACGTCCCACAGAGTATTAATCTGTGTTATACAATACTAACACCTTTACAACCTTTAATTAGCATGTGTATTTTATTATTTTATTTTAATGTATCCTGCTTTAATCTTCTTTTTAATAGCTTCTCCAATTACTTTTTCATTTCTTTATTTCTTTTTTAAGTTTTTTACCTACAAATTTCTATTACTGAAACTTAACAAAACAAAACTTTTTTAATTAAAATTAATCTCTTTTAAAAATTTCTTCATTCACCTTCAAAACATTCTACCTTATTTCCTTGCTTTGGATTTCATTTCTTAAAAAAATGTACTCTTTCAAAATTTACCACACGTCACATAACTCATCCGATTGAAACACCCATAGTTCACCACACGAACAATACACAAGCATCACAAGTACACACCTTACCCGTACCACACACTCAAATACCTACCAACAATCATCTACGTATCCCCCACAAACGTGGAACAGTAATTTCAGATATTTCATTTGAATCAGGCCTCTCTGATGATTATGCATTACCACCAGATGCAGTTTCCGAATCCACATGTATGGATGCGTCTATGCCATCTTTACTAATGCGCCAATCTTATGTAGATTCTCCCAGTAAAAAAATTGAATCATTGGAAAAGGTTTGTTAAAATCGAAACAGCCGAATGGTATTACATCTATAACTTACTTAATATCTCTTCTTTAATCCCTTAACGCAGGTTGGACATCTAGCAAAATTAGGTGGCAAGTTAAAAACATGGCGTAAACGTTGGTTTGTACTTAAAAATGGTACTTTGACCTATTGGAAGAGTCAGCACGACATAAATCGTAAGCCACAAGGCCAGATAATGTTGGACGAAGCATGCCGCATAAACCGTGCTGAAGGTGCTTCCACTTTTGAAATAGATACGGGAAAAAAGGTCTACTATCTTACTGCTGATTCCAATGCTACAATGGATGATTGGATACGTGTGCTGCAAAATGTACAACGTCGTAATGCTACAAAATTATTACTCAGTCGTGATGACCAAAAGCCAACTGTACAAGGTTGGGTGACAAAAGTGAAAAATGGACATGCGAAAAAATGCTGGTGCGTCTTATTAGGGAAAATGTTTTTGTATTTTAAAGCACCAGGAGAAACGGTAAATTTTTTGATTTCTTATTTTGGATTATCACAAATTAAATAAATTTTGATTTGTAGAATCCAATTGGTCAGATAAACATGAGGGATGCACGTGTAGAAGAGGTAGAACATGTGTCTGACTCTGATTCAGAGGAACGTGAAGATCCTGCTCAAAGCCAAGCAAGATTAACTGTTGCTATTTATCCTGCGCATCAAGGTCCTACGTATCTTATATTACCTGGTAAACAGGAACGTGATAATTGGCTGTATCACTTGACGGTAGTGTCAGGTGGAGGTCCCAGTGCTGGTACACAGTATGAACAACTTGTACAAAAGCTTATGGAGACCGATGGAGATCCAAGTAAGATATTGAAATATTTTAAAATATTTTTTTTATATTGTATAGGTATATTCTAATTACTTAATGTAATTTAATACATCTTTATTTAAGATGTATATAATGTTCTCACAAACTAATATTTGGAAATCTGTACTTAATATATTAGGAAGTTATATATAATAGACTATCGTAAAGTTCATTCATTACATTTCACAACCAATTTTGTTAAGTTAAACAAATAGAATTGTTGTTCAATTATTATAAAATTTAATCAGATTATTAGACATTAGTTAACATGGATCTAGATTAGATAGATCCTCGAAGATAATTAAAGTTTTTAAATCAATCTGAAAAATATTTACATATGCTTTCTCAATTTTTATAAATTTGTTCAGTGTATGTCAGAATCTATCGAATTATTTTTTTTAATTGTTATAGTAAATTTTATTTAAAAATCTAAGAATACTGAAATCGGAATCTCATCCACTGAAGTTTCTTTTAACTTTTGCAATTGACAATTGATAGAATGCCGCTATTCATTGAAAGGTATTCATTGAAAATATTTATGATTAGACCTCATTCTAACACATTTTATAAAACAAAAAGTTAAAAACTTGTGTTCCAGCACAAGGTCTGTGCATATATAAATACATATACAATATATATCTATCTATAAAGTAATCGAATAGTCTAATTTTTAATTAGTTCCTGTATTATCTGTTTAATTTAATTATATAGCCTCTATTATACAAAAGCAGTTACCACACAAAAACATGATCCACCTTATTTCTTATTAACTTTTAATACAATTTAAATTTTAATAAAATTTAATAAATTATTAAATGATTTTGTTGCTTAATTATTAATTAATTATGCAATTATAATTATTTGGTCAATAAATGATCGAATTTATTGAAAATATTATTGCCACTACCGTTGTTATTATTTCCCAAATAATCCCTTTGATAATAGATCTTGATATACACTTAATTTTTTA